CCTTGAACTTCTCGAAAGATTTAAATACATTTCTATTATTTGCCACGTGTCGTGTAGCGCCATTATCAATCCACCAATTCTTTGAAATATCCTCCTTAATTGTGTTAATCTCTTCATACATTAAAGGTAAAATCTGGTGTTGAGGAGTTATTGCTTCAGCCTTCTTTTCTTTTATAGGCTTACCATCACTTATCCATTTTCTGCAATCTCGTATCCAATGACCTTTCTTATGACAATAATTGCATGCACCATTTTTCTTGCTTGTTTTTGTATTATTGGTTTGTGGGAATTTTTTCTTGACATTATTAAGCATTAAAGCTTCTTCGTCCTTAACATCAGCACCTTTGCAATTTCTTTGATACATACAGAGTTGTGCGGTCATTTCCTCAAAATTCTTCTCTTCGTTTTTTGTTAAAAGCATCCAACTTGACTTAAAAGTATCAAAATGACTTGGTAAAATTTGAAGGATTTTGCAAACTAATAAAACTTCTGGGAGCTCATTTTCCTTACGTCCTTTCAATCCGTTATTGAGTTCTATCCACAAACTTTTGAGTTTTGCAATATGTAAGCTCACGTCTTCACTTAAATTCCATGTAAATGAGAAGAAGTCAATACATATTTTGAATAATTGATCCTTCGATCTAGCCTCAAATTGAACCATTAGCGATTCCCAAGCCTCAGCAGCAGTTTCTTTATCCATTATCTTTTGATACACATTGTCACTTACTGCGCTTGCTATCATGGATTTTGCATAACTGTTTGCTTTTCTATACAAGTCCGACTTTTCCTTGTACAGCTTCTTTTGTTCACTCGTGGCATCAGAGGATGGTGGATTTGGATTCTTTAGTTTACCTTCAATAACGTCAATTGCTCCTTCGTGATAGTCTAATAAATCACGCATCTTCCGTTTCCATATTGGATAGTCCGTTTCGTTTTCCAAAGGCTTGATGTGCTTAGCAAAATCCATTTCTTAAAAAAAAAAAAAAATTTCATAAATTTTTGAAGTTCTATATTTTTATAATTTTTATTTTTCTCAGAGACTCCTGGGCTCATAACCTTTTGTAGTAGAAGTTTTATTAGGAATGAAAAACTTGAGTATGTACAACATGAATTGTAATATAATAGTAAATCAAAGACTACTATAGATAAAACAGAAACTTGGTTATATAAAGTAGTATAACATTTCTTAACACATCAACATCACCAAGGCCATGAGAGAGAAAATCACACCCATGCAACCGGCAGAAAGAAGTGATGAAAGTCTTGGCTACACTCACTCACGCACCGGTGCCCAAAGACGAAAGCAGTACCAAACATACCATGCATGTTGGCAGACGACCAACATCGCACACCTTCTAGACCGACAAAACGAGTCCTTACAAACCATCCAAATATGCGTCACCAGTGGTAATAGGTAAAACCAGAATTGACAAAACATTAAGGTGACCTAGAATGTAACCAAGACCCTTGAAATAGTTGAAATTAGCGGATGCCTTCATATAAGGGTTATACTAAAGCTTGGTCCTATACTTATAATTATTTGAAAAAATGTTTTGTTCTTTCTAAAATTTCAAATAACATTTAAGGAATTAAAAAGGGCTATATCACAATGCAGACCAACCTGAAACATATTTTGTATAAATGATTCTTTATGTAACCTATAGGACTGATCAAATTGAAAACTCTATTTTAAATTTTGCGGAGTATAGAGGAAAATATTAGAGGCTCTTTGTGTATGTTTAAGCTATATAAAATGGACCCTAAAAATAATAAGTCATCCTCAACAGAAATTTTACTATGCTTTTTTAAAAATTTTTACATATATATCTAAACAAGTGGGTGTGGGCAGCTCCTCTGACCCACACACATACCTAGTCTTGGAGGGAGAGTCAAGATTACGTTGTATACTAACTGTGGAGCAGATATCTTCATTATATTGGTAAATAGGATTTTAGGTAAATCGAATAATGGACGTAAAATTGGGTAGGACGAACATTAAAAAAATATTCCAATCGTTTCAGCCGTTCTCAACTAATTCAATTACCACCGAACAACAATTGGTTATTATATATAGATTAGAAGTATGCGTGGTCAGTTCCTCAGCCCCCAAATAAATCCCTAGGGTTGGAGGGAACGTCAACAGTATCTCGCGTAATAATTTTCAAATCGATATTTTCATTATCTGGCTAATATAAAGATTTTAGATAAATCAAAATAGTGAACGTAAAAGTAGGCGTGGTCAATATTTTTTTCTTTAAAAACCCAACTCGGGGTATGACGAACAACAAATTATGCAAATCGGTCCAGATAAATCAATTGTTGTTCGTTGGTAATGGAATCAGTTCAGAACGGCTGGACCGAAATATTGTATATTGAACATGCAGCACTTAATGCGTCATAATGGCTACACCGAAGAGCAAAAATCGAAAGAATCCTGAAGAGTATCTCCGTAAAGCATTTTGTTTTTGGTGAAAATAACGCACATTTCGTTTGTTTAAAGAAGAATGATTTCCAGTTTGCTCCAACACATTGTCAAAATATATATCTATAAATCCATTGTATATACACAAATCAGAGACTGATAGTGTCTTAAATGGAAGGCGTTTTTACAGGCTTAAGTCGTCGGCTAGGTTGACTTAGTTCAATTTTCGCATGGCTCGTTCTTGTTCACATGGCATAGCTCGTTCTTATATGAACAAGGCAGTATTTAACTTATTTAATTTTTTACACTTTTATCATGAAGCACACACGCTATATAATTTTTATTTCAAAATGCAGAATGCACATATTTCAACCTAAATATAGAAACAACAACAAGAGAACAACAAATATGTGAACAAAATAATAGGTGTGTCTGGTTACTTTTCCTGCAGGAATTGTCCAGCAACATCTTTCTGAGAGAGTAAGGTAGTTTTATTCTCTTTTGCAAGGAAAATGCGAAAAGTAAACAGACGGTATTCCTGCAGAAGCTTGCAACTAATCAGCTGATTTGTCAAAACAAACCAATTTGTCCCCCATAAGGAGAATTAAAACAAAGGAAGCAATACTAATTTTACAGGTTTTTTTTAAATAAAAATGTTGGAAATAGTCTTTGATTTTCTTATTACATGTTAACATTTACGTTTTTCACATTTTGTAAAGTTTCTCTCCAAAAACTATTAGTCTTGCTAATTCCAAAAAAATATTTTCAAATTGAAACCACAAAAATAAATAAACAAACAATAGAAAACATCTGATTGAATGTCGATGAATGAGAAGAAGAAGAGTTGCAAGTGATTGTAAGAAGAAAATTGTCCAGCAAGAATTTGCAAACTCTCACTGAAAGAACTGTCAACATTTCTCTCTCCAACCGCTCTCTTTTGCAGAACTTTCGGGTTAACAGACGACTTCCAGTAACAATTTGTAACAATTGTTACAAATTTTAGGGTAACCAGACACACCTAATGATAAGAGGGAAAATGTAAAAAAAAACAAATGCCATGGTACACTGAATTTGAGAAGTTTTACGTTACATTATAGGCCACACAATTTTTATAGAAGTGTATTTCGGTTTTCGACTGCGGATTTGCTAGCAGGGATTAATGTCGGTATTGAATGTATTTCTTGATGTGATGTTGTTGTGATAACCAAATTTTGGTAAACAAACACGTGGTGGATTGCAGAATCGGAAGAATCAACGTCAGACCTCGAAAGCAGCAACATATACCGCGCAAAGCAGCAACCATCTTGAATCGAATTCTTGGGCATCCTGGGACATCTTTGCATATTCTGGAGACCTTCTTTACGGATCCTGTGTGAGTTCTTAGATATCCTTTGTGAGTACTTCTTAAAGTCTCTCGCAAACGTATCCTTGTAGTCTGCTCGAGTATTTATTAAGATCTCTTGTAACTGTGGATTTCAATATCCTTGTTGTCTCTGTGACAACTTATGAAGGTCAATTGCAAACGAATATCCTTGTAGTCAACTTGAGTACTTACTAAGGTGTCTTGTAACTGTAGAGTTGAATATCCTTGTAGTCTGCTAGAGTATTTATTAAGGTCTCTTTCAACTGTAAATTTGAATATCCTTGTTGTCTGCTTGAATACTTATTAAGGTCTCTCGCAACAATATCCTTGAATATCCCCGTAGTATGCTTGAGTTCTTATTAATTTCTCCTTCAACTCTAGCAATAGAATATGCTTGTAGTGTGCTTGAGTACTTCTTAATATCTTTCGTAACCGTATTCTTTCAGGCTATACGATTCCTTACTACGAGATAGATTATGCCAGAAGTGCTATATGGTCGAGCATTAATATGGTTTAGGAATAACCACAATCCTTGAAAATCTTGGAAGTCCTTTCGGCCAGACAGGACTTAATGCGTCATAATGGCTACACCGAAGAGCAAAAATCGAAAGAATCCTGAAGAGTGCCTCGCCCGAATATCACTGGTACATCAAGCGGAGAGATTTCACTGATCTAACGAGATGGCTGAGGACTTAGGGGGAGTTATTAACTACACCAAGTATTACAAGAGACCATCATCGCCAAATTGAATCGGTAGCAACGAAAATAACACAAGAGCCAACGATAAATGCCGATATGACCTGCGCCGGAGCTGAAATACTCCGAACCTATCTTGAAGATGAAGTTATGGCGAAAAATAAATATATTGTGGCGAAAATCGCCAGTAACAGAGTCCCGAAACACTTCAGCTGCGGATACAATGGGCTAAGCATCACAGTGCAGATTCCTAGGCGGAAACATGACAGCAAAGAGAACGAGGAAGGCTCTTAAAAGCGGTACTGAATCGCCTGTCACGACGACCGGTAGTGTGGACTAATACCCCCAACTCCCCGTAGTGTCACCTTTTGTAGTAGAAGTTTTATTAGGAATGAAAAACTTGAGTATGTACAACATGAATTGTAATATAATAGTAAATCAAAGACTACTATAGATAAAACAGAAACTTGGTTATATAAAGTAGTATAACATTTCTTAACACATCAACACTTTCCCTTGTTAAGAGATGTTAGACTGTTTGTTGTAATCCAATATGATCGCAAAGAAGTTTAAGTCTTGTGCAGATAAAACAGAAAATAAGTTCCTTGACACTCTTGGAACGTACCAAACATCTGTTAGTGTGATTTGGATTACCTTGTTGTTGACATAAGACTTGATATCAACTGTACCTTTCCCAATTACATCTAACATTTCACCACCGGCCGCTTTAATCTTGCAACATTCCTTGAACTTCTCGAAAGATTTAAATACATTTCTATTATTTGCCACGTGTCGTGTAGCGCCATTATCAATCCACCAATTCTTTGAAATATCCTCCTTAATTGTGTTAATCTCTTCATACATTAAAGGTAAAATCTGGTGTTGAGGAGTTATTGCTTCAGCCTTCTTTTCTTTTATAGGCTTACCATCACTTATCCATTTTCTGCAATCTCGTATCCAATGACCTTTCTTATGACAATAATTGCATGCACCATTTTTCTTGCTTGTTTTTGTATTATTGGTTTGTGGGAATTTTTTCTTGACATTATTAAGCATTAAAGCTTCTTCGTCCTTAACATCAGCACCTTTGCAATTTCTTTGATACATACAGAGTTGTGCGGTCATTTCCTCAAAATTCTTCTCTTCGTTTTTTGTTAAAAGCATCCAACTTGACTTAAAAGTATCAAAATGACTTGGTAAAATTTGAAGGATTTTGCAAACTAATAAAACTTCTGGGAGCTCATTTTCCTTACGTCCTTTCAATCCGTTATTGAGTTCTATCCACAAACTTTTGAGTTTTGCAATATGTAAGCTCACGTCTTCACTTAAATTCCATGTAAATGAGAAGAAGTCAATACATATTTTGAATAATTGATCCTTCGATCTAGCCTCAAATTGAACCATTAGCGATTCCCAAGCCTCAGCAGCAGTTTCTTTATCCATTATCTTTTGATACACATTGTCACTTACTGCGCTTGCTATCATGGATTTTGCATAACTGTTTGCTTTTCTATACAAGTCCGACTTTTCCTTGTACAGCTTCTTTTGTTCACTCGTGGCATCAGAGGATGGTGGATTTGGATTCTTTAGTTTACCTTCAATAACGTCAATTGCTCCTTCGTGATAGTCTAATAAATCACGCATCTTCCGTTTCCATATTGGATAGTCCGTTTCGTTTTCCAAAGGCTTGATGTGCTTAGCAAAATCCATTTCTTAAAAAAAAAAAAAAAATTTCATAAATTTTTGAAGTTCTATATTTTTATAATTTTTATTTTTCTCAGAGACTCCTGGGCTCATAACCTTTTGTAGTAGAAGTTTTATTAGGAATGAAAAACTTGAGTATGTACAACATGAATTGTAATATAATAGTAAATCAAAGACTACTATAGATAAAACAGAAACTTGGTTATATAAAGTAGTATAACATTTCTTAACACATCAACATCACCAAGGCCATGAGAGAGAAAATCACACCCATGCAACCGGCAGAAAGAAGTGATGAAAGTCTTGGCTACACTCACTCACGCACCGGTGCCCAAAGACGAAAGCAGTACCAAACATACCATGCATGTTGGCAGACGACCAACATCGCACACCTTCTAGACCGACAAAACGAGTCCTTACAAACCATCCAAATATGCGTCACCAGTGGTAATAGGTAAAACCAGAATTGACAAAACATTAAGGTGACCTAGAATGTAACCAAGACCCTTGAAATAGTTGAAATTAGCGGATGCCTTCATATAAGGGTTATACTAAAGCTTGGTCCTATACTTATAATTATTTGAAAAAATGTTTTGTTCTTTCTAAAATTTCAAATAACATTTAAGGAATTAAAAAGGGCTATATCACAATGCAGACCAACCTGAAACATATTTTGTATAAATGATTCTTTATGTAACCTATAGGACTGATCAAATTGAAAACTCTATTTTAAATTTTGCGGAGTATAGAGGAAAATATTAGAGGCTCTTTGTGTATGTTTAAGCTATATAAAATGGACCCTAAAAATAATAAGTCATCCTCAACAGAAATTTTACTATGCTTTTTTAAAAATTTTTACATATATATCTAAACAAGTGGGTGTGGGCAGCTCCTCTGACCCACACACATACCTAGTCTTGGAGGGAGAGTCAAGATTACGTTGTATACTAACTGTGGAGCAGATATCTTCATTATATTGGTAAATAGGATTTTAGGTAAATCGAATAATGGACGTAAAATTGGGTAGGACGAACATTAAAAAAATATTCCAATCGTTTCAGCCGTTCTCAACTAATTCAATTACCACCGAACAACAATTGGTTATTATATATAGATTAGAAGTATGCGTGGTCAGTTCCTCAGCCCCCAAATAAATCCCTAGGGTTGGAGGGAACGTCAACAGTATCTCGCGTAATAATTTTCAAATCGATATTTTCATTATCTGGCTAATATAAAGATTTTAGATAAATCAAAATAGTGAACGTAAAAGTAGGCGTGGTCAATATTTTTTTCTTTAAAAACCCAACTCGGGGTATGACGAACAACAAATTATGCAAATCGGTCCAGATAAATCAATTGTTGTTCGTTGGTAATGGAATCAGTTCAGAACGGCTGGACCGAAATATTGTATATTGAACATGCAGCACTTAATGCGTCATAATGGCTACACCGAAGAGCAAAAATCGAAAGAATCCTGAAGAGTATCTCCGTAAAGCATTTTGTTTTTGGTGAAAATAACGCACATTTCGTTTGTTTAAAGAAGAATGATTTCCAGTTTGCTCCAACACATTGTCAAAATATATATCTATAAATCCATTGTATATACACAAATCAGAGACTGATAGTGTCTTAAATGGAAGGCGTTTTTACAGGCTTAAGTCGTCGGCTAGGTTGACTTAGTTCAATTTTCGCATGGCTCGTTCTTGTTCACATGGCATAGCTCGTTCTTATATGAACAAGGCAGTATTTAACTTATTTAATTTTTTACACTTTTATCATGAAGCACACACGCTATATAATTTTTATTTCAAAATGCAGAATGCACATATTTCAACCTAAATATAGAAACAACAACAAGAGAACAACAAATATGTGAACAAAATAATAGGTGTGTCTGGTTACTTTTCCTGCAGGAATTGTCCAGCAACATCTTTCTGAGAGAGTAAGGTAGTTTTATTCTCTTTTGCAAGGAAAATGCGAAAAGTAAACAGACGGTATTCCTGCAGAAGCTTGCAACTAATCAGCTGATTTGTCAAAACAAACCAATTTGTCCCCCATAAGGAGAATTAAAACAAAGGAAGCAATACTAATTTTACAGGTTTTTTTAAATAAAAATGTTGGAAATAGTCTTTGATTTTCTTATTACATGTTAACATTTACGTTTTTCACATTTTGTAAAGTTTCTCTCCAAAAACTATTAGTCTTGCTAATTCCAAAAAAATATTTTCAAATTGAAACCACAAAAATAAATAAACAAACAATAGAAAACATCTGATTGAATGTCGATGAATGAGAAGAAGAAGAGTTGCAAGTGATTGCAAGAAGAAATTTGTCCAGCAAGAATTTGCAAACTCTCACTGAAAGAACTGTCAACATTTCTCTCTCCAACCGCTCTCTTTTGCAGAACTTTCGGGTTAACAGACGACTTCCAGTAACAATTTGTAACAATTGTTACAAATTTTAGGGTAACCAGACACACCTAATGATAAGAGGGAAAATGTAAAAAAAAAAACAAATGCCATGGTACACTGAATTTGAGAAGTTTTACGTTACATTATAGGCCACACAATTTTTATAGAAGTGTATTTCGGTTTTCGACTGCGGATTTGCTAGCAGGGATTAATGTCGGTATTGAATGTATTTCTTGATGTGATGTTGTTGTGATAACCAAATTTTGGTAAACAAACACGTGGTGGATTGCAGAATCGGAAGAATCAACGTCAGACCTCGAAAGCAGCAACATATACCGCGCAAAGCAGCAACCATCTTGAATCGAATTCTTGGGCATCCTGGGACATCTTTGCATATTCTGGAGACCTTCTTAACGGATCCTGTGTGAGTTCTTAGATATCCTTTGTGAGTACTTCTTAAAGTCTCTCGCAACCGTATCCTTGTAGTCTGCTCGAGTATTTATTAAGATCTCTTGTAACTGTGGATTTCAATATCCTTGTTGTCTCTGTGACAACTTATGAAGGTCAATTGCAAACGAATATCCTTGTAGTCAACTTGAGTACTTACTAAGGTGTCTTGTAACTGTAGAGTTGAATATCCTTGTAGTCTGCTAGAGTATTTATTAAGGTCTCTTTCAAATGTAAATTTGAATATCCTTGTTGTCTGCTTGAATACTTATTAAGGTCTCTCGCAACAATATTCTTGAATATCCCCGTAGTATGCTTGAGTTCTTATTAATTTCTCCTTCAACTCTAGCAATAGATATATGCTTGTAGTGTGCTTGAGTACTTCTTAATGTCTTTCGTAACCGTATTCTTTCAGGCTATACGATTCCTTACTACGAGATAGATTATGCCTGAAGTGCTATATGGTCGAGCATTAATATGGTTTAGGAATAACCACAATCCTTGAAAATCTTGGAAGTCCTTTCGGCCAGACAGGACTTAATGCGTCATAATGGCTACACCGAAGAGCAAAAATCGAAAGAATCCTGAAGAGTGCCTCGCCCGAATATCACTGGTACATCAAGCGGAGAGATTTCACTGATCTAACGAGATGGCTGAGGACTTAGGGGGAGTTATTAACTACACCAAGTATTACAAGAGACCATCATCGCCAAATTGAATCGGTAGCAACGAAAATAACACAAGAGCCAACGATAAATGCCGATATGACCTGCGCCGGAGCTGAAATACTCCGAACCTATCTTGAAGATGAAGTTATGGCGAAAAATAAATATATTGTGGCGAAAATCGCCAGTAACAGAGTCCCGAAACACTTCAGCTGCGGATACAATGGGCTAAGCATCACAGTGCAGATTCCTAGGCGGAAACATGACAGCAAAGAGAACGAGGAAGGCTCTTAAAAGCGGTACTGAATCGCCTGTCACGACGACCGGTAGTGTGGACTAATACCCCCAACTCCCCGTAGTGTCACCAAGGCCATGAGAGAGAAAATCACACCCATCCAACCGGCAGAAAGAAGTGATGAAAGTCTTGGCTACACTCACTCACGCACCGGTGCCCAAAGACGAAAGCAGTACCAAAGATACCATGCATGTTGGCAGACGACCAACATCGCACACCTTCTAGACCGACAAAACGAGTCCTTACAAACCATCCAAATATGCGTCACCAGTGACCTCCCAGAGAACGAAGCAAAACATTTACTCCAACAAGAAACGCAACTGTTCAAAAAAAACATAATTTTTTTTTTCATACATATTTTTACTTTTTATAACCTCCACCATAGTATGGAGGGTATATTAAGTTTGTCATTCCGTTTGTAACACCTCGAAATATACATTTTAGACCCCACAAAGTATATATATTCTTGAACAGCATAAAATTCTATGTTGATTTAGCTATGTCTGCCTGTGGAAATCACTGTAGCTTTCGAAGGAAATGAAATAGGTTGATAAAATTTTGCCCAAACGTATATTATTATGCTTGCAGGAGGTTTGGTATTGAAAATGGGCCATGTGGGTCCATGTTTTGGTATAGCCCCAATATAATGGTAACTCTTTATTTTCGGTATTTTGATGATTATTCATCGGAAATATTTCAAATTTAGTATTTGAAGCTCGTAATGATTATTACAGCCTTTGACAGAAAATTATCTGTGCAGGCCACGTCTTCGTGTAATGGCCTACGGTAAAAGTTGTCTATGTAGGTCCACGTCGTCATATAGACCCTAATATAACGGCTATATTCAATATTTTTTAACCTAAATAAAGAAACACGATATTAAATTGTCGATCTAGAGATGTCCATCCGTCCGTCAGTCTGTCTATCAGGCTGGCTGATGCGCACGATAACACTCGAAAGGAGTATCCGATTTGATCCATACTTGGTACATCGTAATATTTCTGTCACACTTAGATCGAGTTCGGAGATGAGCAATATCGGCCCACTCCTTCTAGTACCTCCCCACAAAAGGTCGAAATTTTCAAAAAATATACTTTCTGCACAGGAAGAGACACGATAATCCAATTTGGCTACAACTTTGCAAATCATAATATCGTGCAATGTCGGGTGTGAAAATGGGCAATATCGG